TGTCAAGAAATGCATCTCTTTATTACTTTACGTTCAGAAACTAAGAAAGAGTTATGAATTGTTGTATAAGGATAATAACGCGACGGATTGCACGTTTCAATGACAGCCGAAGTAAATTATGTGTCATCACAATTCGCTTCGAGAGAAAAAAATTAATGGGCACGTTGTGCGTAGGTGAATTCGGTATTTTAATCGTATACAGCTTCCTGTCTTCTTTCAATCATAAACAATACGAGAGGGCGGAATTGTAGGGCGACCTGTTTCTCCGATATACTTCGTTCTCTTTTATAGGAATTCCTGTGCTTTGTTACGACGCGGCGTACACACCTCGGACAAGAAACCGCATCAGATACGAAAGATGAAACTCGAAATCATCGGGCCGCGTACCCGGTTCTGGCGGCGACACGCCAGTTTCTTGAAAGTGAGAAAGGAGAACGTAAAAGTAGGTGGATGCATTGGACGCAAGAAAACCCATAGCGCGGCGAGCTATTGTAATGAGGGGACACGCAGAAGACTCGAATGATGATGGTGAACTTGGCGTACAACACGCCGGAGGAATTATAATAATAACCACGCCGTGTAATAATTTCAGCATTTTGACATTTATACATTGCTCCCACGGTTATTCGATACGGGTCCGGTTCCCATTGGAGACATTTTCTACGTTCTTTCATCTTAAAACACATTTATCTCGAGAAAAAAGCGGTATCCTATGATCACTCGTTGATATTCTATATCTAGTTTATCTAGTATGCAGTTCACTATACATTATTGAATAAAATATCTATCAATCTTTATAATATACTGAGACACTGAATATTCACATTCAAATTAGTTTTATTTGAATCAAGCTTTCTATATATTTCAAAAAAGAGAAGTTTTTGTTAAGAAATTTATTTATTACTTCACTATAATATTTTTTAATATAATTATTTAGATACTTTTATACTTAGAAGGAGTGTAATATTTATAAGATTTAAAACTTTTAAATCTTATTCTAACTTTTTAAAATCAAAACTGTATTTTCTCTCTAAATTAAAATATTACGTTGTGATAAATTAATTAAAATTATAAGCTCGATATACAACTTTAATTTAGTTAATAATGAAATCAAATCCATCGTCATCTCTCCTTCGTCGCCCAGTAATGACTTTACGGTTCATCTACGTTCTAATTTCATGGTTTGACCATGCTAACCTCAGCATCTGAACTTTCCCAAGACTTTATAATGGTATCGAAGCGAACGCATCATCTCTCAGACCCTCTGAGCTTTCGTCGTTTATCGCGTTCGTCACATGTGCGATATTCCTCATACAAGGGGATTCTGAAGCGGTTTGGAGTGTCCAGAATTCGGTGCAGTGGAAGGCAATCCAGGACAGAGGGAGTTGATCACGTCTCGACAAGGTTCGAGAAGGGGATCCGTGGTCCAGCACGCAGAAGGGGGTATCAATAGCTCGTTAATCACAACGGAGGGTGGGTTCGGAGTGATACATATCCTGCCCCTGTCCATCCTCCCATCCCCGTTGAATTGAAATTTATTTAAAACGGGCGCACCGACGTACGTACCCTGGGGGTTTGCGCCGAGGCGTCTCTCTCATCCCTCGCGTGTGAATCGCGAAAACGGTGCACAGGTTGCATCGGGCACTGGCTGCGGCTCTCGAGTCAAGTGCACGCAAGATTAAACCTTCCACCATCATGTCTCGCCTGGATGACCACGCGCTTTTCATCACGCACGACGATCCCGCCTGAGAACGCACCCGCCTCCCGGGTCGAAACCTCGTCGAATTTCTCCCATGAAACTACTCTTTGCATGCATTCGACTCGCCTTTCATACGAGATCGCCGTTCTCGCGAAAGCTAGTAGCTAGCGACAATAAACGTATTATATGCAAAGTAATTCAGAGGACGTCTAAATATATATCATTTTATTGTATTACTCGATTCGGATAAATTCAGCAAAATTTTAAATACAAAGCTTGATAATTTCAAAATAAAAACATCATTCTGGCTCTACTTTTATCAATAATATATGATATAAAATATGATGCCAATTGTATCAAAACTTAATGCTTGTTTCCAATGTAGATAAATTTGAATTTCTATTCAATTTACTTTTCTTTTTTTAATTTTAAGAATTAGAAAAAAATAAAAAAGTTGAACCGAGATTAAAGACGATCTACATCGCTTGAAATAGGCACAAGTATTTCATTAATTATCTAACTTATAATATTTACATACAATAAAAAATATAGAAGATAGATTTCAGTTTCATTTAGTTTAAAAATTGTATTTAAAAAGCTTAAAAAGATTTTAGCTTGAGTTAGTAAGCTGCATTATTTATCGACAAAATGACGTCAGCTTGCTATCTACTATGAATAGGAAATAGTTTTGAAATAATAAAGTCCGGAATCAAATTCGAAAATGCATGAAGAAATGCAGAATTAAATAAGTCGTGATAAATAGACGTAAAAAACTTCTCGCCTACGCTATAATGAATATAGTATATAAAGGGAAATAATAATAGAAGATATTCAGATTTTTAACAATAAAGGCTTCGCATTCAATTTATCTTCAGTTGATAATTGTTGGAAAAATCGATTTTTAAAGAACCGTGAATAAACTGCTATAAAATATTATACATTACATATATCAGGCCTGTCCAATTTGAGTTCCGGAGCCAAAATCATCGACACAAAAAAGATTCAATGTAAGTAAGATTTCATGGTCTGTAAAGTGTTGATAAGCGTCATTCAAACGCGTATCAACGCGTATCAACACTTTACAATCTCCATATTGATTTTTTTGCGTCAATGGTTTTGTATTTTAGTTCTGAAGTTTTTTGGACAGGTCTGCATTATATTATACACATTCATTAGAATATCCACAGAGCTTTTCAACAGAATCATCTCTGGCAAAGTCACACAAAGAAAAATAAATACGTCGTTATCGTTCTCGTGCATTCGCACGTTGATTGCGTAACGTATCCACGTGGGAAACGCATATTGCCGGACGATTTTTTCGCAAAAGAAGTAAAAATCCGCTTATCACGCGAGGGCACGCGTGTAAATACAAAAATGCTGCCCTTCTTTTCTCCCTTATCCGATCGGGGACTCTCGTCGGCTGTCGCAGTTGATCCCAATTGTGCGGTCATGATCTGCATTTCTGATTTCATCAATTCGCTCTCTTGTGACACGTTCGGAGAGAAAAGAGAGGACGGGAAGGGGAGTGAGTACTGTCATTTGTATCGCAACCGCGACTTCGAGACGGGGTGTTTCGAGTCTGGATGAGGAGGAAGAATAGGAGCGAGGGGCGGTGAATTGTAACTCGAGCCCAGTATTTAGCGGTAGGATTAATCGCGATCGTGCGAGCAGACAACCGGACAAAGTTGCGAGGGGCGAGAACCGGTGTACTTTTGCACAGGTGTATTCCTGTAAAAATTTCATGAGTAGATATTATTACGGACGAATTTATCTTATTTAGCGTCTCTGATATGCATTTGAAGAACGTCGATTTCAATTTTAAGAACAGAAAAAATTAATTAATTCTAAATTAATCTAATTGATTGTAAATTGAATTAAAAAAAAACTCATCAAAACTTAAATCATAATTAAAATATTGCTCGACAAAAAGAGAAAAAATGTTTTCATAAAAAAAATTTTATTACGATATTAAATACATAATTAGTTTAGAGTAAGAGAGAGAAAAAGCTCAGCTAATAATTTCTTCGAAGTAAAATTACTTTCATATCTTATTTGTGCACAAACTAAACCCCTACGAATTGAGGCAAAAAAGATGATAGAAGATGATGCAAGAAATATGATTATGGTAATATTATTGAAATTTAAATGCTGTATTTCAGAAATCTTGGCGGAACCAAGTCATTTCATAGTCCATGCATGTATAAATAGCACGAATGAAAGCTCGTTATGAAAAGGCAGAACTAAAGGAAATATTCATCAAATAAATAAACGTAAAAAGATTAAAATAATAAAAAATATTATAATATTTGTGTAATATTTAACCTATAAAAATTGACACATTTTTGTACCTTTTCCATTCAACAATTTAAAATTTACTTTTTTTTTAATTTGAGAAAATTAATAACGAGAGACACTTAAAGTTATATAAAATATTAAGATTGAATTAATTTTTTCAAGTTATTGAAAAAAGCTGTTACAGCTATGGCCTATAAAAACATTTAATTATATTATATATGTTTGCACTTGATATACATTTATTTCCTTATTTTGACAAACAAACTCAAATTTAGGAGTGTGTGTGAAGTGCAACCGCATGAGCACTCATGGGATATGATTTGGAGGTCATATCTCTGCGACCCCATATGATTATATGAACTGAGAAAATCAAGAGAATTTTATGCAAGGGAAATGTCATGAAAGGAAACATCGGGGTCACATTTAAGGGCTCGAGGATGCACTAGCTAATATAAACATTACACCGTTGGGACCCACTTACCGCAGGGGGTTTTTATGCGGGGTGCATGTCTCATAGCAAGCTTCAATAGGAAAATCATCGTACATCATATCTCGATGGCGATATAATTTCCACATACTGACACTACTGCCATATAGAAGACCATATGTGATCATTTTTGGCGAGCGACAATTTTCTTTTTTTGAAGAAACGAATAAAAAAAGAATTTTTTTATCACGATTATCTTGCAAAAATTACAATAATATAAGTATATAACTTCTGATAATGTCCTCAATAATATTATACATACATATATATATA